TCCCACCCAGCGAAACGGCAGCTTTAGTCGCATTACTGTGGCGCTTAAAAGGTTAAAACGTTTTTGACTTTGAGAGCGACGTCTGCTGGCAGCAAGTCGTCTAATGAAAGCGACTTTTGCAAATGAAATAATTTTGCGGCCTTCCTTTTTTTCCATTTGGCTCTGACTCTTGTTTTTGTGCTTTTCGTTTCGTTTTCGTTTGGTGTATGTGCTGGTGCGCCATTTTAATTGAGCCAGTTTGTTTAATTAAACATTGAAATTTGAAAATTATAAAGTCAAATATTTTAAATGTCTGCGTTGGCGTTGAAATGGAATGTGGCGGCAAGGTGAGATTTTCTGTCAGCAGCCAGCTAATGCGGGGGGATTTCATTTAATTTGGCTTAAATGTTTGGATTACTGGTAAATTAGCCAGAAGTGAGTTCGAAATTAAAGAGTTTTAAGTTATTTTATATAGTATAGAAAGATTACACGAAATATATGCTTTAATTAAGTTGTATCAAGCCTAGCCTCCAGAATTATATTTTAGGGCAAGAAATCCCTATTTAATATTTTTATTTTAGCTTTAAGCATAATGCATATTTTTCATAGCTATTATTTTGAGGCTTTGGACTGTAAGGAATTCCATAAACGTGGCCAGGAAGTTCCCATCATCCGCAAATTACACGCATTACAAGGCTCATCGCCAGTGAAATGACCTAGACAACAGCCCTAACTGCTCGTTAGATGACCTCGCGAGAGCCTCAGTGAACTTTGGGAAATACAAAAAAAAAGGCACTCCTGTCGACCTTTAACCGATACGTGGCAGAGTTTTCCAGTCTAACATAGGCAGAGTTACCTGTTGCCAAAGATAGAGAAAACTCAGAGAACTGAAAGTCCAGGTTCTCCTTGGGTTTTTCCTTTTCCTTTTCACTTTTGCTTGCTGGGGCTCCTGGGCAAAGGACATTCATAATTTTTACTTACTTTCCTTTTTCCAGTTTTCATTTTGCTCTTGGTTTTCCTTCTCGCATTTTTTTATAGCGCCTTCCTTCGGCGACATTGCGCGTACCACATTTCGTATACTTAATGAGATTTTTCGCAGACATATTTGCAATTTGGTGCGACGACCAGCGTGTAAAAGTTGAAACCGCAAATATTCTGGAAGGGGAGGAGGGCGTGGCCCCCAGCCCGGCGTCTGCGTCTTTGGTTCAATTTGAAAGTTTCCCCTCAAGTTAAACCCAGAAGCAACAAAAACTAATTACAATCTCAAGTTGTTTTTTCAACACTCACCGACGCCGAACTTAACCCTTGCTGTCTATCTTGAGATATTAATTTGAGAAGTAGTTTATACAGGAAATAAATTATAAAAAATGTGAAATTTTAACTATATATTCTTTAAACCTTTAAAATATAGTTGCAAGCAATTAAATAAACAAATAAATTAAGTTGGATTTTATACAGGGTTAAGACTAAATGGTTGAAACAACTTTCTGGAGATTAAAAAAATCATATTAAAAAAGTAGTTGCAGTACTGAGAAGTCGCGGAGCAACTTTAATTTTAGTTTTTCCAACTATTCTACCCTTCGCTGAGTATTTTCATTCTTCTTCCTATTCTTATTGTTGTATATTTTCCTATTTTTTGTCTTTATTTTGCACTTGGCACTTTTTCTGCGAATTTATTATTGTTGTTGGCACGGTCGCTGCATTTTCTTTCTGCTGCAAATTGCACCTCTGTGATTATGGCCACTTGGCATCGTCTTCGCCGGAGCTTTGTTACTCCATTTAGCCATTTAAGGACAGGGGGGTTGTGCTGTTTTTTGGGTCACCTGGCTGGCTCTAATGACATTCTCTCTCCCCTGTGAAATGCACTTGACAACACCTTGACATTGTTCATTAGTGTCCTGTGCCCGCTTGTTGGGCACGAGCCCAGCACAATTCCAGCCAATTGTCGATGGGCCGGGGAAAGACCATCCCAAGGAGTCCGAGCAGCAGGGATTTCATCAGAATCCTGAGGAGATGGAGCTACGTCTTGAGATGTTCTGGGCGGAACATCCTTCAAAATTTGCAGCTAATCTCTGCCAGCGGGCTGGCGAATAGCTCCCGCTGAGCCAGTCCAATTGGAAGCCCCTGCTGGTGGCCTCTGCACTCGGGGACCTTATGATGGTACAGAGTGAAAAATATTTTAATTTACTAGAAATAGTATTTATGTTTCTTTCTGATATTAAACATATTTTAAAGAGTTTAATTTCTGTACTTAACACTACATAAATAATGCCTTCACTACTTTTAATTTTGATGAGAAAAAAAACCTAAATAGCTTGGTCTAGTTTCCTTCGGTGCTGTTCTCATTCAAATTGTATAGCGTCATTATTCAAAATGTCAATGTCATTTCATTTTTCCCTGGGTACTACTTCCCTTTTTTCGGTGACACTGCAGACTCGTTTTTTGGTGGCTGAAGTCTCAACTCACTGCACTGACAGCTGATGATTGTCGGAGGATAATGGAGGGGACTCCCACATCCACAGCCCACGCGTTTGTCATGCTTAGCTGCTCCTGCTCCTGCTCCTGCTACTTCTGCTTTTGAGGCCTTTTGACGGCTTTCTCTTTGGGCTTTAAAGTTTTATCCCGAACTGCGAACAATGGAAGGACAGTTTACTTTAGACTTTAAACCGAGAGATAGAGATAGAGAGAGAGCCTGCCTTAAATCATAAACCCAATATTAGCTCTCCTGGCCATTTCGGCTACTTGCGTCCCTTTTTCATATTTACTTGCTATTTGCCAAGAGGGCCCGCAATGGCCATCAATTTATTTAACAAATGACAAACGCTTTGCAAATCAAACAACAATAACTAATAGACAGTTTGTTTGCCGTTCGCTCGTTGTGTTCTTTTGTTGTGTCAGTTATTTAGTACAAATGGGCTATGGCCCTCGGGCCGCTTATCGCCGGGAACAAAAGGGAATGGAGGGTTTATCTGTTGGCCGGCAGGCAGACCGCCGGCAGTAATGCACCATCAAAAGAATAAAGATACATCTAGATGTAGTATGTGCATATGAATATGAATTTAATACGTATGCATTATGGCTAATAACCGATTTGCGTGCCCAACGCACATAAGCCCCATCGTGGGAGCAGAGGTCGGAGGTCGTTGTTATCGTTGGGGCTTTGTTGTTGGTTTTTCAGAGGCCAAACAGTGCAAAATATGATAAACATTTATTAAGTTTCTCGGCTGACTAGGTTTTTTCAGCAAAAACTGCATTAGAAAAGAATTATAAAACAAATAACACTATAAATAGTGCGGGATTCTATGGGGAAATTGAGGATAGTTCGATATCAGAATTTATGGAGAATAAAGTCGCATATAAATATATATAATTTGTGAAGTTATTATTATATACTTAGTAAAATAAGTAAACAGAAATGTCCGCCTATTTGTTGTTAATAAATATAATTATTATAAACAATTTTAATAAAACGGAAAAAAAGTAAACTGAAATTCGATTCGTTAAAATGGGATCGTAAGTTCTAATGTTCAACCTTTCATAACTAAGCTAAAAATGCATAAATTGCAATTCGGAAACCATTTTTGTGCTGCTTTTTTTAAGGCTAACAAGTCTGCATACTTAATTTTGCATTTAAACAAAGTCAATTTTTTGTCAAATTTTGATAATTTTTATGATGTAACCCCTTATAAAATTTTCAATTTTCGAAAAACTGTCAAAAATTTATTTTTTGACCGGACATGGCTAGAACGACTGGGCTGTTGATGCTGATCAAGAATATATATGGTTTATAGGGTCGGAAATGACTCCTTCACTGGGTTTCAAGCTTCTGACTTAAATTATATTCTGTTAAAAAGTATAAAAACAGACAATTTTTCCCAAAAATCATTATTTTTCGGACATCAGCCGAAAGCCGAAATTGCATTAATTTTAATTTGGAAAGCCTTTCTGTGCAAATTTTTTATTGCAATAAAAAATCTGCATACTGCATTTGTTGATGCTTCTGTCAGTTTTTGACTTAAATCATAGAAACCTCAAAGAAGGTATAAAAACAGACAATTTTTCCCAAAAACCATAGTTTTAAAAACTCATAACTAAGCCATAAAATCATTAATTTTAATTCGGAATCCTGTTCTGTGCTAGTTTTTAATGGATTTACAAAGCTGCATACTCAGTTTTCAAATTTAAATAATTAAATTTTTTGTTAAATTTTGATAATTTTTATGATGTAACCCCTTATAAAATTTTCAATTTTCGACAAAATGTCAAAATTTTAAATTTCAACCGGACATGGCTAGATCGATTCAGCTGTTGATTCTGATGAAGAATATATATGATTTATAGGGTCGGAAATGACTCCTTCACTGGTTTTTAGGCTTCTGGCTGAAATTATAATACCCGGCAAAGGTATAAAAATATACTAAAAATTAATAAATTTATTAGTAATTACTATTAAAATATATTAAAATATAAGTTTCCTAAAATATAAATTTCCTATCTTTGTGCCCATTTTCGTTTAAAATGTGTTCTGCTTATAGGAATAACTTAAAATATAAATATAAATAGTTTCGAATTTTATAGTTATTTATATAGAAAAAACACCTTATACTTTTCTGAAATAGTTTAAGGAATATACATATATATAATAACTATTTATAAATAATTAAAATAAACATAAACAAAAGCTGAGACAACAACCCACTATATAGCTAGAGATCAAAGCTTATATCGCCACTGGATCACCTTGAGCAAGCTCAGCTTGAACCACAACCTGCACGCCAACTGTTCCCACTAGCATTCCAGACTGGGAACAGTGGGAGAAACCAAGACCAATCCATTTACTATTTTGATCTTTTAGACGCGTCGTTTAGACAACTTTTTAAGAAAAACAAGAGACTGCGCTGCTTAAAGCTGACGCTGCCGACGACGTCGCTGCCAATGTCTTGAATATCTCGAATTGAACGATCTGTCAGCGGGCAGAAAACCGCGTTCAGCCGATCAGTTGAATTCACAGCGTCGGCGAGTCGAGAAGCAAAACGCGGAAACGCCTGAGAACGAATCGAAACGAACCTGAGCTGAGTTTTAATTTAAATTCAATTTTTCATACTCTGTGTGTTTTGGCGGGTTTTTTCCCCCCACCGCCGACCAACGATCGACCGAGCGTTGACACATATAAATCAGAGCAAATTGCGGCTAGTTGTGAATGAGCCAAGTTAAGGCGGAGATTGCAGCGCGCGCAGCTTTCGAATCTATCTCAAGTGTGGTAATTTCTGTTGGCTAATTGTGCAAGTAAAAGATACGAAACGTGGTGTGTGTGTGTGTGCTGAAGTGTGTGTATTTGCCAGTGGCAGCAGTGTGTGTGCGTGCTCACTCAATCTTTGCTCAATCGCAATCTTTGGGCATTGCCAAAACTGGTTAACTAAAAGCAAACGTGTTCTTTACGTTTTTTGTGTTGACTTTGCCAGCCGCAAAGCCACAGAGTTAGTCAGCAAAATCACAAAAAAAAACAACAACTAACAACAAAACCAAAAGTACACAAATTACAGCAAAAAAAGATAATAACAAATTGTGGCAACAGTGTTCCTGTGGCAATAAAGTCAGCCAACTGCAACGAAGAGAGCTCTAGTACCCGCTAAGAACCCCGAGGAAGTCAGGTAATTATATATCTTTGCAGTGCGAAACTGGATTCTGGGATTCCCCCACACACACTCCAAAAGATACCATCTCAAGGATGCAGCAAGATAATGCAGGGCCCTAAATTTCCCATCGAAAGCCATAAAAAGCAGCTTCGTCAACGACCTGCTCCAATTCGATTTATGCGGCCCAAGGTCAACAGCAACGGCTTTAAAATGCAAAGTCAGCCGAAGTTGAATCTCCAACTGACTCTGAAGTCGTCTTTTCTTTTTTGTCTTTTTTTTGTGCCCTGGCTTCTTTTGTTTAACGTTTCTTGAACTTTGTGAGCGACCCGACTTTTGCTTTACTTTGTTTAAACGAAGAAGCGAACGAAAAAAAAGTGTGGCAAAATGGCTTAAAACAAGAAACTGAACTAACTTTTTGGCAACCGAAGTTTATATACCCTCGGAGTTTGTACATGAATTATCGGATCTAATCAAAAACTGATCATAATTAAGCTTAAAATGTTTGTTTTTATTGAATGGAAAATTATAGACATTTTAATATGACATCTTAAAGCTTAAAAATCTCATAACTAAGCAAAAAATGCATTAATTTCAATTCGGAAAGCCGTTCTTTGCGAGTTTGTATAACGCTTTCAAATCTGTGTACTGGGTTTTACAATTTAAAAATTTCATTTTGACATTTTAACGATGTAACCCCTTATAAAATTTTCAAATTTCGAAAAATTTTGAAAATGTTATTTTTTAACCGGACATGGCTAGATCGATTGAGCTGTTGATTCTGATCAAGAATATATGTATATGGTTTATAGGTTCAGAAATGATTTCTTTACTGCTTTACAAGCTTCTGAATGAAATAAGAATGACCTGGAAGGGTATAAAATATTTTAATAATAAATAAATATAATACATAATATTAAGATAAATGATTTTATTTAAAGAGTTACAGTTTGTGGCTTTTCCGCAATAGTATCCAATGTTATTCTTTATCTTTAAATTGAATTCCAAAATTGAGCGCAAACATTTCCCATTAATTTAGCACCTTAAATCATAATTACTTTAATGATGCGAGAAACATGAGCTTCACAGAAATGCATCGATAATTAAAGTGTCTTCTGCTTCAAATGGTCCATCTGCGAGTGTTTTGAGGCTCTTTCGCATTCGCTTGTAATTATTTAATTTGCTGCCTCTAACCGGGTACTTAACCTTTCCAAAAATTGTACCCACAAACCGCAACAATGAGAGTTGCCACAATAACAACAGCAACAACCATAACCGAGGTGGCCGCATTACTTGGCACAATTAAAACCGCAAAACTCAACTCGTTAGTTAACTTTGACCTGCTCAACAAAAAAAAAAATGTATAAAAAACAATAAAAACCACCGCTGGCAAAGCGAAAAGGTTTCCATGCACACGTAAAGTTCAACGTTTGCATTTAAAGAGAGAAATATAAAAGCACCCTAACAGAAGCCAAGTAAATGTGACTAATTTTTAGATGATGGAACGAACTAATGAAAAATTAAGTAATTAATGTTGGTCAAGGCGCCAGAAGAGAGGGCGTTAGCAAACACCTTCGCTGCGGCCAGCTTATATTAATTATTTCACATGAATTGCACAAAATACCAATTCAAGTGACTCACTTAATAAAGCATTAAACATTATTGCCATTTTTCCACTGGTCATGCGGTAATTTCTGCAGCAGAGATCATAAAGCCAGTGTGAAATATATGTATATGTATATGTAAATCCATGGAAAAGTTCTTTACGATTTCGCAAGTCAGAGTGAGTGATAAAAATTCACATTTCGCTTTTATTAAAAATCTACTTTAGCCATAACAACTCAATTGAGAACGACTTTTTTGGAATGAGTAACAATAAATCGAACTCATCGCCAGCTGGCAATTCGTTCGTCAGGAAATTAAATAAAAGTTTTTTTTGACCATTTTTTGTTAGCAAATTGAAATAATTCCGCTTAAACTGCTAATTGTTTTGGCCAAAAATTCTAATTAGTGCATCCGTGCTCAATTTGAAGCCCTCGTTAGCTGCCAATTGCCAATGGCAATAAATTGCATTTAACATTTTGGCACTTGTTTGGGGCTTTTTAAAGTGCAATTAACGCCAAGCTGATGCACAATTATTTATTTTTATATTGAATACTTTTTGTCAGCATGTTTATTTATTTATTTATTTAATTTTTTGCTGCAATTTGACAACGGTCGGCAGAGGGTTGAGCGGGCTTTTGTCGAGTTTGCCAAGGCGCATCGGCGTTTTGGCCATTTGCTACAATGGCGAACCATCGAACGGATGCCCATGTAATGGCGATTGATTTACAAGCTATGCGAACTGATATAAGCCGGGCTGGAAAACAGAAAAAAAAAACGTATTTCCCCTCCCCCCCCCTATATCCGTATATATAATTATTCAATTAAACGACCGCACATACAGAACAATTTCCAGTGAGCCAAAGGTAACCGCCAATAAAAATATTCATCCAAATACAAATAAATGCGTTTTCCTTTTCATTTATATATTGCCATTTTTTATATGCATTTTCCGGCATGAGACTGGCAGCCAGCCGCGAATGCAATCAAAGTCGTAGTTTATGGAAAGAATATACGAGTATACAAAAAAATTCAAAAAGCCACCGCCAAAAGACCGTGGTAAATTTAATTTATTTGTTTGATTTCATTTGCAAAAAGTGTCAGATCTGTAAAAATATCATAATAAATGAGCAGCACGTAAAGAAGCCACAGCAAGCCCAGTAATAAATAAATAAAGTAGCAGAGTATATAGAATATAAAATACACTTCCTTACAAAGTAATAAGCTTATAATATTCAGAATATATTATTTATAAATATTATCAAAATATATCTTAATAATACATTATACTTATTCCATTTAGCAATCTATGTCATAATTTATTCTACTGCCCTACTTATTCACTGTCTTGGCCCATTAATAATTATTAATACAATCAATTTACCCACTTTTTTTGACCCACAAAACAGACGAGTTTAATTATTGTAAATAGCTTTTGAGGCAGCGAGGAAGTGAAATCAATTATGCAAATATCCCACTCTAACAAAGTTATGAAACATGTTGGGGAAAATGGCCGAATAAAATTGACTTTGATGCGAAATCAATGGAGATGGGCATAAACATAAACAATCGGCAGGGGCGAAAATAGATTTTCCAACTCATCGCTTTTTTATGTTCATGAGAATATGCAAAGTTTCCTCGCTTCCGTTTTCCTTTCTTTAATTCTCTATCATATTTGCATCGTTTAGCCGATTTCCTGACAACTGACAAACACTAACAGTAATAAGCCACTTGTAAGGCAGCAATAATGTAGATCCATAGGATAGATATGAACCCCCCAAAAAGCACCACTCCTACTCACTCTGTGGGCGCATCTTACGTTTGACACATTTGCATAATCTCAGGCAAATCTTTGGTAACAAGTAATCGAAAATAAATTTGCATAACAAATGCCAGCTAAGCGTCAGTTGGAAAAATGAGCAATAATCTGAGAGACTCTATACAACAATCAATAAAATATAGATGCAAAAATTGTGCGAACATATCCCTGACGACTTTTTGCACTGAACCGCACCGAAATTTAATCACAATTTAAATTGAAATACCCCAAAAGCAAAACGAGACGAAAGGTTACCATTCCGATAGATATATATATGAATATATTTCCCTGTAACTGTACGATTTTTTGCATACTTATTTGTATATATATCAGGCTTGGCAAATAGAACAAACATCAGCCTCCGGCCTGGGGCTGGGCTGTTAAAAAAATATAAGTAACAAAGGTACAGCTCCCGTTTCGAGTAATTGCCAAATGTTTACGCACATATGTACAAGTAATATTTGCATATAAACAGGCATATGTAGCCGCTTTTCATTCCCGATGTTGCAGCCGCCTCTTTTTTAGGGCCTTCCCCATTTGCATTTCATTTCAAAGCTTGTTTTTTCGGGACTCTCTTATTTATTCGTTTATTTTTATTTTTTTTTTTTATTCCTGTTTTCGGGGGAATCCTAGGGGGCATACGGAAAATGAAGTGCCAAACGATGGGCCGTGATTTCATTTGCCAAGAGGAGGCCGAATTCACTGATGATGGGAGAAATAAAAAGTGATGACATGATTTTCAAGAGCCCACCGATCGCCATTGACATTGAGAGGACACTCCTCTGGCAACACTTTAATTAATTTCCTTTTGTCCAGTGTTTAATTGAAAAGTATATCCCTATAGAGTGCGACTCCTTAAGTCACTGCCGACAGATTATTCCGGGTTAATGACTCTTTCGAGTGACACTTGAACGCTTCGCAGCTGCCTTCAGCCGAAAGCCGCTTACAGTCTTCGGCCTTTTTGGTTAGTGGTTTTGCTTTGCTAAAAAGCCAGAAAAATAGAAGCGAGTAAACGAGTAAAGCAGAATTCAGATTGCGATTACTCACCAAGCAAAAGTTGACTAAGCAACTAAGCTGAGCCATCATCATCATCATCATCCAAGGGAGCTGGGAGCCGTGGCTTGAAATTGGATCACAGTTTTACCATTTACCATTTTTGTTTTGGTAGTGTTTGTTTTGGACGGAAAGCGCTCAACTGTTAAAACTGAATAAAATGCAATGCTGGCGCGTTTTTAATTGTTATTGCTATTGTTGTTGGCTGACTGACTGACTAAATTTAGTTGAAAATACAGTTCAAAATGTAGTCGACTCGGCTTGCGAACCTTGAAAATGAGCGTGGAAATCTGCGCATAATTGGTTGGAAAATGTTTGCACAATTCACACATCAAACCGTAAACCAAAAACCAGCAACCGACAACCGAAACCCGAAACCCAAAGTACAAAGCTTGAGGTCGTGTGTTAATTATTGCATAGCCGCCTCTGCAAAAATAGAATATATATAAATAGAATAGGTTAGGAATCGGTGAAATAAATTACCATTGCTGGCGAAAATATTGAATCCCTGCTGGATGTCTTCCTTGTTTTTTGGCTTAGTTAA